CTTCCCATCCTCCCACAAGAACGGGGCAAAACTACTTTCGGATGAGAAAAATTTTCTTAGCAAACGCCGACTACACTATGGTCATTTCAGGAAAGGAAAATCATAAATCAAGTTAATAGATCAGCCGAACGTCTCGTTTTGCAGTAATACCACATAAGAAACAAGCATTACTACAACCGGTCAGTTATCAGTCTTGCCCACCAATTCCAGATCAAACTCTCGAAGCACACGGAAAGTACTACACACAAGGGTAGTACTTCCTATTGTTTTACAGCTTTATATTTCTTCTTCCGGAACTTTACTCTTTCAGATGGTAGTCATCAGTGTAAATCTATGAATCTTGAAGAAACGAACCATTTTCTTGAAAATCACTTAAAACCTGCACCCTCTCGTTTTTGTGGGCAGACCTGTTTGGGAGGTTGAAAACATAAACTGTACATTAGTACATCTTCAGAAAAATTGGAGGCCACAGTTTTAATGACGATAATAACTTTTTGCATAATGGAGTTAAGAAATGTTGGACAAATTGCTCTCTTGACTTTTGGACAAACGAATCGTAAAACAGAAACCACCATTAGTCTAGAAAAGCCACTCGGCACCATTTCCAAGTGAGCAGGGCAACCAGTTGCCTTGCTAGTTTTAAGAGCTTCCATCACGACAAAGTCAGTGGTAAAAGCTGACGGAACCCCAAGTGCTTTGAGTATAAGGGAACACATGTTGCCTAGAAACTAAAGACGAGGTTGAGTTTCGTCTATAGCAAAACATTCTCTCTATATTAGCACCCTTTGCTGCAAAAGCTAGACTACTCCTTTCGGATCGACCAACTCTTCAAAACACCTGTTACTAGGAAGGGAACATCACTAGTTTAGGTGAAGTCCAAGAGTAAGGCTATCGGTGAAGCTATCGCGGGCTTGGGAAAGAGCGTATGCCCCGATCTGCACGCACGTTGAAGTGGTAACGGAAGTTCGTAGTGGGTCATATCTCTTCGAGCAATGGGCTGCTTAGGCTATCTTTCTCTTCTGATATCTGTTTTTGCATTAGAACGGGGTTTTTCTCAAATAGTCCTTACGGCAATGACATTTTGTTGCCCACGGTCCCCTTTTACTCCTTAAACGTGCGCCAATTTGTCTCATCCAGTGGATATTACAAGCCGGGAAATTGTCCGAGTGGTATGATCTGAAAAACTGGTCTCGCCAAAGGCGATATCGGCTTAGACGCCTATAGGCGCTTTGAGAACGAGATCGGTCGAGATTACTGAGCAATAACTGGTCGTTGCAGATCCAAATGCAAGCCGTTCCCATCCGAGTGACAACGATTGAAGAAAGCTATGCTCCCTGTTTATCTATGGGGAGAACGACAGTAAAGTTAGCTTGAATAATCACCTGAAGATTCATGATTCCTGGTCGATTCACGTAGATTGGCCAAATTTGTTCCCGAAGTAGTCGAGTACAGAATGGACATTGGGATTCAGTAAATATCGTCACATTGACTTGTTGGCCAAGAACTGAAGGCAATAGCACGCATGCCAGTATCCAACGCAACATTCTGGAACAAAGTTTTCATATTGGAGTGATAATGAATGATAAGTTCTATTCACGAGTGATAATGGGAAGAGAAAGAGAAAGAATAAGGATAAGGCAAATGGGAAGAGAAAAAGAGCAAAACACAAGCAGGAAGGAACTCCTTCTAGGAATAGGTTTAAATTTACGACTACAGAATTCATAAGTGAGGCCAGTAGGTATGGTGGCTTTGGATAAGGCCTATGAACTAAGTCTATGGATTAAATTCCTCGATTAATTATCACTACTTTAGTATTTATTTTTGCTGTAAATTAAAGCAATTTCCTTCTGAAATTCTCCAGCTAAGTGCAATAATTTGGAAATTTCGACTAGACTTGGGTATTGACGATGGCTTCGAATCAAAATTCTATAGCTTCTGAATGTTGGGGTACCAGATTTTCCCCCTCTATAGCTTCGAATAAATTATTTCGAGCTATCTCCTTTAGTGAAGAATCTGTCTGATTCAGTGGAATTTAATGGTTTCGGAAGAAGACGAAGACAAAACAAATAAATTACGATTCAAAGAAGAATACAATCAAACGAAAGGTAGTAATTTTGAGTGTGTCCTTAGATTTCTTCGCCGTCGTCAAGTCCTCCCACGGACAGATACCCCACAGTTGTAATCTAACCGGCTAGCCTTGAAAACTGGATAAGAAGTGAAAAAATTGCTATCGGAAATCCTCTGTTGTTGATGGTATTACGGTGGCAAAGGGCGACCAAAATTGAAGGGGTGCGGCTGGGCAAAGTCGTATTTATAGCTGTACGCGATCCAATAACTTGCAACTGGATCAGAGAAAACGTCAGACATGGGAATTTCCTCGAAATGGAAACGTGTTTTGTCGCTGTCGCTCGATGAAAGTGAGGAAACCACTAAAGATGAAGAAGTTGTGGATGTCGGGCGTTTAGTTGCGCTTGCGCATCGAAGCGGCTTCTGTCGATCAAATCGGCCCTCTTGAAACCGGGCTAAGTCAAGGATTTCGAAATAACGAAGTGAATATAAACGGAATCTAAGAGGAAGCGACTTGCATCTGAAGGGATCACCCTTATGGTCATTGACGAAAACGGCGGGTCATTGTAATTGTACGAAAGNTGTCGGGCGTTTAGTTGCGCTTGCGCATCGAAGCGGCTTCTGTCGATCAAATCGGCCCTCTTGAAACCGGGCTAAGTCAAGGATTTTGAGGTAAGGAAATGAACATAAACGGAATCTAAGAGGAAGCGACTTGCATCTGAAGGGATCACCCTTATGGTCATTGACGAAAACGGCGGGTCATTGTAATTGTACGAAAGTTGTTTATTTGCTCAGTCTAAAGTAAGC